CTGTTGACAGCCCAAAAGAAGTTTTACTATGAAATTTGTATGCGTTATAAGTCTCTGAGTATACTTTCTAACATACCATACGTATTGTAATTCCGATACTCCTAGCTCAAGATACATTATTTTTCGCTGAAAGTACACGTGTCTGAAAGTTTACTGCAGTAAGGTTGACTTAGAGAATTTTCTGTTGACAGCCCGGAAGGAGTCCTGATATAAAATGCATATATATTGAAGGTATCTAAGTTTACTTTATAACAGCATATACGGATCACGATTCCGACACTCCTAGCTCGGAATATGACTTTCTACGCTAAAAGTATGCAAAACTATAAAGTTATTGCAGTTAGAACAAATTCCAGAAACTGCTGCAACTAATCAAGAAGGAATTTTGATCTGAAATTTTGACGCGAGTCTGCGATATAAGTCTGGTCTCAGGTGCATAAAATAGTTTTCGGGTTGCACTCGCCTACACCAAGATATGGCTGGTTCAGCAAGATGGCAAAAGCTGCGAAAGGAGCGAGTCATGACTAGAGGCCGACTTCAAAAATTAATTCTGGTCGGTCCAGAAGGATATTATATTCAATCAAAAACTTTTACATGTTGCAGCACTTGATACCTGGTTTCTAGGGGATTAAGGGTCTCGTGATTTGAGCGCTTCTAACTTAAGATATGGATTTTTTCCACTAGAGCGCGCAAAGCTGTAAAACATATGTATCTGACTTAGAGATCAACTTCAGGAATTAAGTCGGACCAACGCGGAAGGAATCTCAAGGTGAAATTCGGATATGTCATTGCCACTGAAGTCTTGTTTCTGCTCAATCAGGCGACTTCTGATTTGAGCTTGTTCACGCTAAAATGTGAATTTTTAATTGCATGTGCATGAAGTGACTGACACATGTTGTAGTAGAAAGCAACTCTACCGCACATGATCTTCACTGCCTCCCCAATATCATATCATGATGCTTTTGCTGTATACTATTTTCTGAACTTAGCATAGGCTTCCAATACTAACGGACGCACTCCGAAGTTCCTTGAAACATATGAGCAAGTCATCCAGTTAGAAGTCATCAAGTACGTGCATCCGATAAGGAGTCGCCCAAATATATTTCTCACTGAATGGAGTCCCTGGCTCGCTTTTAGGAATAGTCATTCGAATGAAGCCTCCATGGATAGATGGCTGCAACCAAAATAATAAAAAAAATCATCTTTCCAACGTAGTGGCAACTGAACCAAAAAAAAACTTCTTCTGAGAAGCATAATTAAAGCAGTGCAACAACTTTGAACGCTATTGGCAAAATAACTTACCATTATGCAGTGAACTTAGCCGATCGAACTTAAGTATTGCGACTCTAAAAAGTGCAGCAGAATTTCCTTCGGCCTGTCTCCAACAACTGGTAAGCACTAGTTCATCTGTTATGGCACCATAAAGAAGAAAGTATGACCAACGATCTCTCTCAACAGAGCAAAGAATCTGAAAAGCAACTTTGGTCGCTCAACGACCTTTCTTAGTAGCATCAGGAAGCAACAATCAACAAACATGAAGGTGCAACTCTGACCAGCAACACACCAAAAGGGGAATTATACAAAAGTGTAAAGAGGGAGAATCGTCCAAGCAAAGAATCTGAGCGTCATACGTTTTAGAAATAAACTTCTTCAGAACTTTGACACCAGTTAGTTTATCTTAATTAACCTTAATATATCTGTATAATTCATCCATACCATAATTCACAGGAAACTCAAAATTCAATGAGACTGTGCAAATAAAAAGAAAGTACTTTTATTGCTCTAAGAAAAGACATATCAATACATGATATCTGTCTTTAAAAAGAAAAAAAATGCAAGGGATCCTATGTGAAGTTTCGATTTGTAGTAGAAATTAAAGAAGAAATTGTACATTAGGGCTTGAGAGAAGAGAGCACAAAGAGGAACGAACTGCTAAAATTTTATTCATCTTATGTAAAAATGAACTGCTTGACCTTTGAAAGTTCTAGAGTATATATTTTATATACAAGGGTAAAAGTGTAAAGAACTAACGCTAATATGTGGGTCGACCCGGCAGAGTATGGGCTGCTAAGCCCAATACAAATAAATACACTTCAGACTTTTGCATAGTCTATGTAACGCCAATACCGCCCCTCAAGTTGGAGGGTGGGCACACATCCAACTTGGCAGCCAAAGAATGATGAACCCCACCTGTCAAGCACTTGGTAAAAATATCAGCCAACTGGGAATTAGTAGAAACATGATGTAAAGAGATCAAACCATCATCCAACTTGGTCCGAATAAAATGACAATCAACCTCTATATGCTTGGTGCGCTCATGGAAAATAGGGTTCTTGGCTATGTGAATGGTAGCTTGATTGTCACAGAAAACAGGGAGAAGAGTAGAGCCTTGCAAGCCCAGGTTGGACAACAAACAGACCAGCCAAGACAACTGAGCAACAACTTTGCTCATGGCCCTATATTCAGCCTCAGCGGAGGATAAAGAGACCACATGCTGCTTCTTGGACTTCCAACTAATAAGACTACCACCCAGGAACACACAAAAACCACTAACAGAGCGGCAAGAATCAGGGCATGCAGCCCAATCACTATCACAGTAGCCAACCAAAGAACAATCAACAGAATCATTAAGAAAGATACCAACATCAGAAGTCCCCTTTAAGTAGCGTATGACATGTAAAGCAGTAGCCATGTGAGGGACTCTAGGTGTTTGAGAAACTGACGAAGGTGTTGGACAGCAAAGCAAATGCCAGGGCGAGTATGGGTAAGAAAGTTAAGTTTCCCTATGAGGCTGCGATATATGTCAGGTCTGGGCAGAAGGTCACCAACATCAGAGTGCAACTTAACATTCAAATCCATGGGCATATAACAGAAGAGACAGTAGAACAGTCAAAACCAGCAAGCAAATCAGTAATGAACTTTTGTTGATGCAACAGAACACCAGAAGAATGATAATGAATCTGAATACCCAAGAAATAATGGAGAAGCCCGAGATCCTTTATTCGAAATTGGTCATCCAGAAAACTTTTCAAGTCAACAATTTCAAGCATATCATCCCATGTTAGAATGATATCATCTACATATACAGCGATAAACACAGTAGACTGAGGTGATTTCTTCATAACAGGGAGTAATCATTTAAAGAATGGCTATAACCTCTAGAGCAAAGGGCATGGGACAATTTAGCATACCATTGGCGAGAAGCCTATCGCAAACCATACAAAGATTTATGCAACTTACACACCAAAGTATGAACATGAGATTCAGAAGCAACAGACAGCCCTTGGGGGAGTTTCATGCACACTTCTTCATCCAGATCACCATGCAAAAAAGCATTATTGATATCCAATTGGAAGAAAGACCATTTCTGTTTAACTGTATAAGCTATAAGACATCTAATAGTACACATTTTGAATACGGGAGAAAATATTTCATGAAAGTCAATACCCTCAATTTGTGTATCTCCCCTTACAACTAGCCTAGCTTTGTATCTTTTCACACTACCATCAGCTTTATATTTGATTTTATATGCCCATTTACAACCAATTGGCTTTTTACCTTTGGCTAGTTCCACAATATCCCAAGTCCCATTTGCTTCTAATGCCTCAAACTCTTTCCTCATGGCTTCCTGCCAAACTGGATTGGCAACAGCCTGAGCATAAGAGTGAGGCTCAACTGCTGCATATTGAGCAGCAGAAGTGGAGGTAGTAGAGGAGCAGGAAATAGAAGGGAGAAGTTGAACTACATAATTTTGAAGATGAGAAGGGAGGTGATGACTTCTAGCAGATTTTCTGACTGCAGGTAGAGGTGAAACAGGAGCTGGAGCAGGAGCAGGTGAAATAGAAGTAGGAGAAGAAGTAACAGATGGAGGTAGAATTGAAGGGGAAGGAGAAGGAGGAGGAACAGAGGGAAAATTAGAGGTAGAATCATCAAAATAAGGAGGGAAACCAGGAGGAAAAGAGAGAGGAAGAAGAGGAAGAAAAAGAATAATGGAGATGGAGGGGAAAAATAGACTAATGGAAGAGGACATCTCTGGAGACAAAAATAGACTTATTTTTAAGGTTGCAAAGCTTGTACCCCTTTTTGCCAAAAGGATAACCAATAAAGACATAAGGGACAGCCCTAGGTTGAAATTTATCCCAATGATACTTGGGCACATTTACATAAGAAAGGGAACAAAAAGTTTTAAATGACTATAAGAGGGTGCTTTGCCATAAAGAATTTCAAATGGGGATTTGTTAGATAAAAAAGAGAAAGAAAATCTACTTATAAGATAAGTGGCTATTAAAACACAATCCCCCCAAAATGTTGTTGGAAGTTTGGATTGGAACAATAAAGCTCTTGATGTTTTCAGTAAGTATCTATGTTTTCTTACAACAACTCCATTCTGTTGTGGTGTATGAGGTATGTAGTTTGGTGCAGGATCCCATATCAGAAAAGAATTGGCAGGCTAAGTTTGAAGAACCAAGCTCCAAGGAATTATCACTTCTCATTGTTTGTACAGAAAGATTAAATTGTGTTTTGACCGTGGCAATAAAGACTTTAAGTAAAGTAAAGGCATTGCTCTTGGAACTCATTAAATGTGTCCAAGTTGCCCTACTAAAGTCATCTACAATTGTCAAAAAATATTTAGCACCAGAATAAGTTTGGGTATGATAAGGCCCCCATGTATCAATGTGAATAAGTTGAAACAGAGAAGTAGAGCTAGATCTACTATCAGGAAAAGGCAATCTAGCTTGTCTGGCCAAAGGACAAATAGAACAAATAAAAGACTGTTTAGTAGACAAATCAGAAGAAACGGAAGGTATACATTTTAATTTTGCAAAAGGAATATGTCCCATTCTATTATGCCAAATCATATCAAGATTATTCACATGTTGTACGGAATGAACAAAAGGAACAGAGGGAACCACACTTTCATTTAGGCTACATACAGAAGTATTTAAAGATGGAGGATTCAGAGTCTGCAAAGTATTATTCGGAGTATAGCTAGATACATTCTACACAATATTATTCAAAGCACAACCAGAAGGGGATGAAGTGGAAAGGTGATGAAGTTTGTATAGCCCTTGGTCCAGCCTACCAAGAACTAGAAGCTTCTTCCTGGAAAGGTCCTGTATCAAGCAGGAACAAGAAGTAAAAATGACTATACTATGAAACTGTTGAATCAGCCTATGCACAAAGATGAGATTGTACTTGAAAGTAGGTATGTAAAGCACTTGGTGCAAGACAAATGAAGAATTCAAAGTGAGTGACCTTGTGCATTTGACTTTTACTTTATATCCATTAGGTATAGTGACTAAGTAAGGAACTCGAAGTGGAGTAATGTCAAAAAGAAGTTCTTTAACAGAGGTCATGTGATCAGTTGCTCCAGAATCTACTATCCAAACACTTCTAGCTACACTAGTTAACACGCAAGTAGAATAAGCAGCAACACCATTAAACTCAGGCAAAGAAAGATTACTACCAGCAAAGTTAGCAGACCCCACAAAGTTGGGTTGAGGATTGGAATCAACAAGACTGGATTGTTGCGGCAAAGTCAAGAGTTGGGAATACTGCTCCATGGTAAGACCAGGTATGCCAGAAACTGGACCATTGGAACCAGATGTTGTAGGAGAATTAGAGTTTTCAGAAGTGGAAGACTCAACATTTGCACCAATCCCAAACCTTTTTCCCTTGGTAAACTTGAAACCTTGTGGAAATCCAATCAATTTATAACACTTATCAATTGTATGACCACTCTTTTTGCAGTACTTGCAGAATAAGTCTTTGTTCTGATTAGAAACCAACCTCTGATTAGGTGAGTCAAAATTAACCTTTTGAGTGTACTGCCCTTGGGACTGAAAATGAAGAGGAAACCTAGTAGGAGTAGTTGTATTTGCATTGAAAGATGCTAGGTCAGGTGTAAAATGAGTATTAAGAGTCTTTTGTCTCTGCTTTTCATCTTGCAGAAGAATGTTACACACATTATCAAGTGAAGGGAGTGGATTCATCATGAGAATGTTGCTTCTGACAGTTATATAAGTTTTATTCAGGCCCATTAAAAATTGGTGAACTTTATTTTCTTCATCATCCCTCAACAAACCCTCCTTTACAGCACAAATGCATGTATTTGCATGATTTGAACCCATAGTCCCCAATTCATCCCATAATTTGTTTAACTTGTTGAAATAAGAAGCTATATCAAGAGGTCCCTGACACGTGGAAGCCAATTCCTTTTTATTTCAAATTTCTTTGTTCCATTAATAGTTCCATACCTATTGTTTAATTATTTCCAGATGTTTTTAACAGTGTCAGAATATTGCACACTCTCAGCAATCTCAGGTGTGAGTGAGCTGGTTAGCCAGGATATAACTATGTTGTTACACCTGTCCCACTGTTTAGACTCAGGAGAACCAACAGTCGGCTTAGGAAAACTACCATCAATGAAAGCAATTTTATTCCTAGCCAACAAGGATACAATAATGCTCCTTTTCCACCCACCGAAGCCATAACCAGAAAAGGGAACAGCAACTAAGGACATCCCAGGTATATCAGATGAATGAAGGAATAATGGACTAGAAGCACGTGGTGTAAATTCAGAATCAGCAGTAGTACTACTAGACCCGTTAGTCATGATTGAAACTAGACGGAGCAACACCAGCAGAAATATACCACAGAATTTAACTTCAATCAACAATGCTCATCAACCAACAGAAGCAGTACTAGTAGAAATTTCTGAAGTTTCATATGCAAAGTACTAACAGAAGCAGTATAGAAAATAAAACGCGTTTACCAGCCTTCTTTGCAACCGGAGAAGAATGACTTTGAAAACCAATACACGACGTCACTGAAGAGAACAATACACCGGACCAGGTAGAGTCACAAACCCTAGTTTCGAACCTTCTCTCAAAACTGAGAATCTCGACAAAATAGACTAACAATCGGAGTGAAAACTCAACAAAGCAGAAAAAATCACTATGAAACCAACAAATCTTCACCGAAAATCGAGAAATCGACGATGTGAGTGAATCTCGGCGAAATTAGACCTGAACGGAATTCGACGAGGGTACCATCGATCGACTCGAGAGATGAAGATCTATAGTATTTCGGGCTCTGATACCATGTAAAGTTTCGATTTGTAGCAGAAATTAAAGAAGAAATTGTACATTAGGGCTTGAGAGAAGAGAGCACAAAGAGGAACGAATTGCTGAAATTTTATTCATCTTATGTAAAAATGAAATGCTTGACCTCTGAAGGTTCTAGAGTATATATTTTATATACAAGGGTAAAAGTGTAAAGAACTAATGCTAATATGTGGGCCGACCCAGCGGAGTGTGGGCTGCTAAGCCTAATACAAGTAAATACACTTCAGACTTCTGCATAGTCTATGTAACGCCAATATCCTAAGTGAAAAAAATGAAAAATCTAAAGCTAATGGAAAAGGTTTGAAGCTAAGGAATTGCTGGAGACTCATTTTAACTGCAACTTTCAGGAGGGACAATTTCTCTGCTTCATCATCCGATAACGGGATATTCACCTCAATGGTATAAATCTCGCCCTCGGTAACGGTGATTTCCTTTTGACTTTTGGACAGCTTCTCTTGATGTTTATCCGGGAACATGATGATCTTCTTCTTTTTAGAGGTCAGGGATGCTAATTGTGTCTCGACATTCGCAAGAGCCACTTGAAGTTTTTTAGCGGACTCATTTGCCTTCCCATATTCCAGCTTCGTATCATCGAGGCATTGTTGTGCATTAGAAAGTGACTCTTGGTGTAATTCTTTACTCATCTTGGACGATCTTAAAGCACCATACTCTACATAAGTCCTAAATAAAGCTTCAACAAGAACCTCCAAAGTAGAAATATCAATGATATTCCCTCTTCGTATTTCCGTAAGAGTCAAACTGATACTTTTTTCCAACTTTATAAAGCTGTCCGTGGAATCTACAGAGAATTCTTTGATCCACTCGCACAATCCATGCCACATCACAAAAACAAAAGTTGGTTTGGCACAACAAATAGTCCCATGCGGCTCATTCCTTGAAGCACCAGGCTGCAACGGCCATGAGGAAGGCCTGAACGATTTTGGGTGCATGACTTCAGTTGTAGCAGCCATAACTTTACTCGTTACAGCTAGTTGGATAAGTTTTCTATGACTTGAAGAAGAAGAATATGGCTTTCTACGTGGAATTAGCTCCATCGAAGAGGCTCCACCCATAACATGATCCTTAGAACCATTAGGCGAGTTGTGGGAGCTCTTTGCGGTCATACCAAGATCATCAATATTTGTAAAGAAACCCTTAATAATGTCATCTCCATGTTCATTACCATATAATTCCTGAAGATAGCAATGGTTTGCAGGTCCCATAATGGTTTGCAGGTCCCATAACGATATGGATAGTTCTCCAATGAAGGTAGCAAGTGTGTTGGTGGAAGGACGCCAAAGCTCACAAAAGGCCTGAAGCACGTTGTCGTTATAGTCGTACATAAACAATGAAGCGTATATGGCATCGTAGACCTTTGTATATTCTAGAAAATCTTTGTGGCGCGAGAGCACATCTTCTACCCACTCCTAGTAGCCGGGTGTGTAGCGAACCTTGCCAAATCCAGAAGGGGGAACATTCCAAGTATGGAAGCATATATCACGATGAGAAAATTCGGACGGCGTGACTTCCCGATGAGTTGCGGACTTCAAAATAGGGACCTTCATGTTAGTGACCTTGCCCGAAATGTCGCCCATAACATCTTTGGCCTCCCTTGTCCACCATTCTGTAAGATGAAGAGATGCGGCAGGCAGCTTTCTAACAAGAGGGAAGGAACCGATCACTGGAGGATGAACTTCCAAGGTGAGAACTTTATCGGACAAATTTTGCTCGTCGCTCGTGATTTCAAGATGAGGGTGCGGATTATTATGGTCACGAAATTGCATCTTGATTGCCGAAAGTCAAGGTTGTATACGCTGCACGAAAGGAATCGAGGAAGAAGATTAAAATTCGTGAAGCATGTACAAAACTGAAACAGAAAAATCAGATCCTGCAGCTAACTTTTAAAAAAATCATAAAAACCAGCACATAATGAATTGAAGTGCTAATATTTGGCGTAAAAGTAGCCTCTGATGTTTAGTCTGCAAAGGATCAAGAAGTTCTTGATTTCGTGCTTCCTACGTCAAGGTACAAGCTATTTGGTGAGTGCGCGCAAATGTGGAGATGCAATATATCAGGATCTCAACTCTGAATTTCAGAACAATACCTGGATAAATCTATTACCTGTATAATCGTGATTTTCAGATATGTCGAAGCTCTGTGAGTCTACTTTTTAGCGCCGCAAACTGTTCGTGATTTTGGTATTCCTACAAAAAGTTATATAGTTTCTCGTGACGACGCGTGAATCTGAAACCATCAGCGCATTCGAATTCAGAATCTGATTTAGAAAAAATTGCCTGAACAAATCTATGAGCTATCTGATCGTGAATTTTGGATATGTCGAGAATCCGCGAGTCTAACCGTTTAAGATTCAGATGCTCCTACAACAAGTTATGAATTTTCTCAAGTGCTCCAAGCTGCCAGGAAAGTTCTGTCGCAAAGACAATAAGGGAAGAACAACGTTAGCTGCAAGCTTTGCTTAATCTGGAGCATAATAAATTATACGATCCACTGGAAAATGCAAAGAAAGCAAGGCTGTCTATAGCGCTACAATAGAAGTTGGAACGACAGAAGTCGTCTATTCTCTTGAGCATCATGATAGGAAGCAAACCAGACCATAACAAGATTGCAATCAAGTTCCATGAAGTATTATTAATATTTCTCAAAACTTGGTAATCTAGATGGCAAGTAAATACATGAGTTAGGGGTCTCTAGGATGTATCATATCTCAATGTATGGGATCAGTGCGTTATTTAACGACTGTAACCAAATTAAAAAAAATGCATAAGGATTTACATGAAGGAAGGAAAGGCTCAAAGAGTTGGTGTGCATATAATGCATCGGAATGGGTCCTTATATAGACTACCGAAGGTAGTGTTTGATTCGTTCCCAACATGGTTTCATTGAGCTGTCACTCTTTGAGAAGAACTCAAATTTCAGGATTGAGAAGTTTATATCCTAAAATTTCTGGACAAGAAAATTTGGGTCCTAAAAGAAGACTAATTGAAAAGGAAAAATACGGCTCTCTTTTGTTCCTAAAAGAAAAAGGTGTTTTCTTGGGTATGAGTCCTAAAATTTCTGGACAGGAAAACCGAGCAAGAAGAATACCAATTGAAAGTTTTTTTTTACAAAAGGGCGCGGCTTTACATTTCCAATTTCAAGTGGAGAACGACTTCCTATAGTATTGCACAATTGATGGGCTCAAGTCTGAAGTTGTTGTGCTGGTGTGTTCCAAATGAATGACTCCAACTTGTCCAAGCCAACTAGACATAAATGTCATGTGCTACAGTTGTTACATCGCTGTAATCTTCTGTTGGTCCAGGAGCTTTCAAATTACGAACGGTCTAATAAGGAGTCAAACCAAAGGATCAGATAAAAAAATACTTGTCTACCTTATTACTTCAAGCCTCGTCATTAAAATTTGCAAAGCTAATCTCCGACGTGACTTGAAGTAGGGACATTTGTAGACGATTAAATTTCATTGGGTTTAAGTTCATTAAATTATTTGGACCTTAATTTAAATTCAAAGATATGTTAGCCCAAACGAGGATTATGGGCTAGCATAATTGTATTTATTATTTCAATCCAATATATANGATAAGCCCAAAGTTTATTCCATGTGTCAAATATCATGTCATGCCAAGTCAAATCAAGGACTGCTAAAATCATGCCACACGCATAAGTGATGTAGTATGCCAAGTCAAATGTAAGGACCAATCAAATGTCGCCAAATATTCAAATGACATGGTTCAACCAATTATATGCAAGCTTATCACATAGCTTTAGTTATAGGTTTGATGACTCAAGTTGGCCAATCAAATTGGAGGAAAACGATATGTATTTATCATAAGTTCCCTCCCGTACAACTATAAATAGGGGTCTCTAGAAGGCCAAAAAGGACAAGAAAAAGAAAAGATACATATTGAAGCTCTTCTCTACAATGGTGATTCACAGGTCTTCCGCATAGCAAGAAGTCGTCGTCTCCAAGGGATGAGCCGCAAGTTTACATCCTCCACTTTTGTGATCAAAGCCTAGCTCCGCTTTAGTGGTCAAATCACAACAAAAAGTGGTCCATCAATTCAAGAACAAGCGAAACTCTCGAATTGACGGTCGTGAGGAGAAAAATCAGAGGATTATATCTTTTAAACTTAAGATTGTTCAAAGATTGTAAACCGCGTAAATTATTAAAATACAAATACTTTTATTTGTCACTATATTTCTTGTCATGATTATTATTTTCAACAACAAAATCTTAGTTGTTACAGTCACGACCCCAATTTTCCTCCTTAGGATATCGTGATGGCATCTAGTCTCTACGACTAGGTAAGCATAACATTTGGTAACAACTTGACATATATAATTAACAAAATACTAAAACAAGTCTGATAAACTCATAAAATCTTTCAAAAACAGAATCTCAACAATACACTCCCCAAGACCGGTGGAACTGAGTCATAAGCTCTACATAGTAAGCTAAAATGTCTACTGCATCGCTGTCTAAATGAAAAATGCAACAGTAATAAAAGTAAGGGAAGGTGACTCCGAGGCCTACAAACGCCGAGCAGGCAAACCTTGAAGTCCTCGTAAGCAGCTAACAATCGATCACTAACGTCCGGCACGAGCAGACGGATCTGGATCTGCACAAAAAGATGCATAGAAGCGTAGTATGAGTACACCATAATGGTACCCATTAAGTATCAAGTCTAGCCTCGGTAGAGTAGTGACGATGCTAGGTCAAGATACCTACTAGGATATAAATAAACATGAAAACATAAGAACGAATAATAATGGAAGGCGGAGAAATAACTGATACCAAACAAGTTAATAGCATGAAATAATACCGGAATTTTAAGCATGGAAATAACATAAAGGAAGAAACTAAAGAGAACCACAAAGTTTATATACGGACAACAACTAATAGAACAAGGAAGGATAAAACAACAAGAAATATTCCTACCAAAACTCTTAGCAACATGAGATAAACAGCAAGAATCACAATGAGGTATCGCCTCGTGTACAATAAGAATCACAACCGAGGTACCACCTCGTATTGATCCACAACTGAGGTACCGCCTCGTATTCATATTTCTCAATTTCAATCACAATCTTTTCTTATACCGCCGCGTAGGCGTTACATTTAAATAGGTTTTAAAAAAATAGTTTTTTCGAAATAACTACACACACTTTATCACACCTTATGACACCACGTGGCTTCACATAATTCCCTTACAAGCAACACACATAAGTCCCACCTTATATAGTTGCATGCATATTAACCCCTAGCCTTATACCGCCGCATGCGCGTCAATATCACATTACAATAACAACTTGCACTACAAGTGTCCATGTGTCACAACTTACCAGTAATCAACAATATCAATGTTTCCAAAACATTAGCCCATGGCTCAATCATATTGTGTACAAGAATATCAGCAATATCAATGAATGTAAAATACTCAACAAGAAAGATGTCTCAACAATAAACACTTTCGCTTCAACGTGATAATGACTTTCACAACTTCAACAACAATAACTTAATAATGAGAAAGATAATGTGTAACCACGAACTAAATACAAATGACTCACAATGGGAAGATAATATGAATTTAAATAAGAATATTAGCATGAAATATACAATGAAAGAGATAACACGTACAATTACTTCTAGTAATGATAATCAACAATGAAAGAGATAAAATGTAACAATTAAAAGAGAAACAAGGTCAACTAAAGCATGAGGGCAATTTATCAAGTAGGATGTAGAACATGTTTAAACAAGTCATTGAAGGCATGTAAGGATTGACGAACATAAGTAAGAATAGATTTACTACGAGAATTTATAACATGTTATGACATTTCAATTAAAACATGGAAAGAGTCTAAGTAGCCTAAATCAGTCAAATACCGTGTACAACTTGTGTACCCACTAGTCACCTTGCGTACACGGCTTTCACATAGCACAAATGAATCAATCAATACCAATCCTAAGGGGTAGTTCCCCCACAAAAAGTTAGGCAAGATACTTTCCTCAACTAGGCCAATTCAACTCTCGTAAATATCTTTTTCCCTAAAATTCACCTTCAAACGGCTCAAATCTAATCAAAATTGACTTAATATCATCAAACAATGTAAGGAAATCAATTACAATAGATAAAGCTAAGATCTTTATACTTTTCCCAAACAGTCAACAAAACTAGGGGCTTGCCCGGTTAAAACCTGGGTCCAATGGTAGATTTCAACTACCCATGATCCTACGAGTTCATATATGTGATTTGTTTCAAAATTCAAGTCCAAATCAATTCTCAAAACTCAAATTCTTATTTTTCAAAAACCTGACAAGGTTTCACAAATTTTCACTTTGATTCACATGATTTTGATGTTAAAATCTAAGATATATTGATGGAATATGATTAAAAATAGATTAAAATCACTTACTCAAAGTTTGTAGATAAAATTCCCCTCTCCAAATCATCTCCTATCGAGTCCAGGGTTCAAAAATGGGAGAATATGAGATGAAATCCCGACTTTCAGCCATTTTGATCAGCTGTAGACGTCGCACTTGCGACCTAGGTTCGCAATTGCGAACCCTCGCATTTGAGAAAAATGCGTCGCAAATGCGACCTCTGACCCGCCTATAGGGACTTCGCAAATTCGAGAAATGGGTTCGCAAATGCAAATCATGTCCCTTAGCAAAAGTGACAGATTAGTCGCAAATGCGAGCTACCCAAAATCCTAAGTGACTTCGCAATTGTGAGCCAGGTATCACAATTGCGATACCTGAGGCCCCCCTGCTAAGCTCGCAATTGCGAACCTGGTGTTCGTAAATGCGATACCTGAAGCATCAGCACAGCAGATTATGCAATTCAGTCCAAAACCTTCCGAAACATGTCTGAAACTCATCCAAGCCCTCGGGGCTCCAAAACAAACATCCACACAAGTCTAAAAATATCGTACGAACTCGCTCGCATGATCAAAACACAAAAGTAACATCTAAAACTACGAATTGAACTCTAAAATGCATGAATTTCAAAGTAAAGTTCAAGAATCTCTAGAATTATAACTAAACGTCTGAATCCTAACAAATCAACTCCAAATAATACCAAATTTTGTAGACAAGTTCTAAATAGCATAACAGACTTATTCCAAGTCCCAAAATCAAATTTCAAACTCGATAGATAAAAGTCAACCTACATTCAAACTATTCAACTTCAAATTGCCAAATTTTAACAAAATAACACAAATCAACTTATGGACTTCGAAATCAATTCAGGGCATATGACCAAGTCCAAAATCACGATACGAAGCTATCAGAGCCATCAAAACACTTTTCAGGGGTTGTTTTCACAAAATTCAATATTTGGTTAACATTTCTAATTTGGGCTTCTAAGCTAAGAATCAAAGGGTCCAAAGCAACCCGAAAGCTTTCCGTAACGATACTAACCAACCCCGCAATTCATAAAATGTTAAACACATATGTGTGAAGCATAAAAGGGGTAACAAAGTGCAATTACACAAAATAACCGATTGGGTCGTTACAAAATAGCCAAGAGGCAACAGTTGGGTGTAATACTTCAGGTGGTTGATGTATGAAGTTAGCATGGATGTGGCAAGCTTTACACCTTCGAGTGTAATCTAAACAATCTTTCACCATGGTTGGCCAATAATACCTCATTCTTTTTATTTGGAAATGAAGTTTTGGCGTAGATTGATGTGCTTCACATACTTCAGAATGTGCTTCTTGCAGGGCTTAAAGGGATTCATCGGCCCCTAAACAATGTAAGAGAACTCCATCAAATGATCTTATGTAGAGTGTATCTTTATGATAAACAAAACGACGGGCTCTTCTTCGAATTTCTGTC